CAAGTGAGATTAACCTAACAGGATGAAAACAAAATTATAACCAGATTAATCATGAAATAGAATAAAAAAATTAATCCCCGAGTGTCAAACTACTAAACGCAGTAAATCGCTATAATAACAGAATGCCGGAGTAGTGTTAAGTCCACTCTAATGTTTTTTTACAGGTGCTAATTGATACACATTTGATAGGCTGAGTGTTACGTAGGAAATTTAAACACTGTGTGACATCATCATCATCACTAAATGAGTCAGCTGCATCCCAAAGCGGAGGGGGGTTGGGGTAAAAGCGAGCTCCTTTGAGTTTGAAACCCTGACCCGGTTTAGTGCAAAAAATATTCTACAATTCAGACACTGTTTAGGACAACAGTGTCTATTTTATTACCCCTGACTGTTTAAGACAAAGAACATAATGGACTCTGTCTTTGCCCAAAATTATATACCTTGTTTAGTACCGACTTGTGTGAAATTGTATACCCCGTTTTAGGACTTAGACAACAAAAACCAAGCTCTATCCAGCATCCAGCAGGCCATACAAGAGAGAAGCTTCAACAACGCCCCCCAACCACCCCCCCTGCCCCACCATCCCCTCACCCCCCGCCGGTAGCTGCATGAAGGTTTTGCCACTATACAACTTTCCTGTTTCAGCATACTGACTTTATCGGCAGAACAGCAGTTGAATTACACGTTAGCAAGGCAATATGAGAAGCTTCACTTGACAAATCTGTAGCCAAAGTAGCGGGAAACATTATATTCCGAGTGAAACGACAGCCAAAAGGGATTTAATTGTACAAGTCATTGGACAATATATAGCGAGATGGAGAATGTGAAAGTTGAATTAGTTCTGTCTTTCATCCAACATAGCCGGATAGGACTTCAATCAGTTGCTTATATATACAAACCTAAGATTTCAGTATGGTTCCACACTTGCATAAGAGCTCATAAGCGATCGGCTGAGCTGCCAAATTTTAGGTGGCGTGAGTCAGCTGAGTCAAGTACGTGTACAGGGAAAAATAACAAACGTTTAAAGAAAAACATACCTCCGTAACTGTGCTCCGCAAGTGTACTATAAAGTTTGGATGGAAATACTGCTATTTTGATTAAACAATGAATTTTTAACCCACAATCAGATCTTCAAACTTCCCATTGAAGTGCTCAATATCTCGACATACGCGCAGCTGAAGCATGAACTAATCGTTTTATAACATTGTCCGAAGCGATCAATGCGGAAGTTAACTTAAATTTTTGTTACTGTACCAGTACGCGTCTGTGTTTACCTCACAGTTATGTTTTTGCCTTGAAACTGAGAGACAGTTTACTGAAGTCGCTTAAGATCATTCCCAAAAAGATGGCAAAATCCAAATTGAGGTGCCGGAAAACTGTTCAGTAATTCACCGAAAAATTCTTTTTGAAAGAAAAAATTTTGCAAACACGCCGTAGCTCGACGCACAGCTCGCGCAGATGACAACAACAACACTCACCTCTTTTCCCTACTATAGGTTAACAAATTCAAACGTTTTTTTTCTTGAATCTACGTTATAAAACACATGGTTAACGCTTCATCTTGTACTGTTGAGTAATGGATGCACTTGAGCCCCCTTTCACAAGTCGCGCGCGTCTTATTTTCGCTTTGCTCGTTCGCACTATACTCTCTGAGAGCCTGGCACAGGCTAACGAAGCACGCTCGCTATTGGCCATTTCTGAGTTGCCTAAGGAACTGGGGCGAGTTTAAATAAACTGACTGACACCTGACACCATCATATAAAAGGTCACGTTGACAGTCCGGAATATCCCTAAATTTAAGGACGGGGCCAACTGGTCACGCGACACTTTTCAACCAATGAGAGGGTGCGCTTGTGTTTATCAACAAACAAATCAAAACATCGCCCCAGTGATCAAAAATTTTCAAAACAACGGACGGAGGCAGACAGAATCAGTCATCGTTTCGAGGCTCTCAGGCATATTTCAAAGACTTTTCATGAGGAATACACAATTTTTTTAAGTAGACAGCGTATCGGAAGCCATATTGGAAGTGTCTCGTGAAATATTCAGCACATTTTGTGGCTTATTTCTTCTTTTATCCTTTAAACAATGCGATGCATAGGCGAGAGTTTGGTCGGTTTTCAAGGTAGGTGAACAAGTGTCTATTATTTTTTCGATTCACAGATTTTTTACGAAGTTCTAGATATTTTTCCTCGATTGTCCTATCGATTAACTTTTATCATGTTGAATGTGGGGATGGTAGACAACCTAGAATTCTGGTAGACAATTTTTGAATTCCGAGGTCCAAAACACGTACGTTTTCCACTCCCGGGTTTCTCACAGAGCCGTGTTATTACTTTTTTTCGCATTAGTACGAGCCTTTGCCTTTTTTCTTTTCAAGGCCAAAACAACTTTAATAGTCTTATGGATATTAACGTCCAACATTTCGCCTCACTTTGCCGAATTTGCGGGGATGAAATTTGAAGATCATAAGCGCAACGTAGATACTAACCGCTTTGTTTCTGAAATTCACTAATCTGGAAAGATTTAATGTTGTTGCATTCTCCAAATGTTCATCCACCGTTCAAAAACAATAAAAGAAACAAGGCAAATCTCAATTGTAAATGATGTATTTCGCTACTCATTGAACATGCACTGATTATCTGGGATAAAATTAAAACATTGCAGGTACTACAGCAAGCAAAGAAAGCACCAGATGCGTGAAGTCAACACGAAACAACACAAAACACAAACAAGAAAAGTTAATAAATTTGAACTACTTTCTATTCATGTTATGATGACTGATTCTTTGATTCTTGTCCTGTAGAAGTTAATAGGTAGTACCAATCCTGTTTTGTACGATCTCAACAAATTTTCACGCTCTCTCTAAGGCTATTTTTCACGGGACTAGTTTGCTTCTATCAAAAATCTTGCAAGCCATGCCAGTGAAGCCACGACCTCCGCGATCGGTCCGGAATCAGTTGGAACACCCCAATGATTCGTTCCTTGCAATGATTAATGCTCTTATTCTCTTACATGAAATGTTTTCTTTGAAATATTAAATGTGAAACCTAGACGAGTGCTGTAAGCTCATCTTTAATTCTGTCCGACTCCGTCCGTTGTTTTGAAAATGTTTGATCACTGAGGCGATGTTTTGATTTGTTTGTTGATAAACACAAGCGCGCCCTCTCATTGGTTGAAAAGTGTCGCGTGACCAGTTGGCCCTGTCCTTAAATTTAGGGATATTCCGGACTGGTTGAGATTGGTCATTTGACCAAGTTTCGTGCTCTAAAGTTGTACAGCGATCAAGTTATGACTCTTGAAACATGGTTAAAAATCCATACAAACGTCTATAATTTTGTGACAGCGTCCCTCAAAACCATATAAACGTTTCCTTTGAAACTGTAAAATTCGCCATGCATCTACTACTTGGGAGGAAGTAATTCGAAAATCACTGTGTTTGCCCATTTTTAGGAATATCACAGAAATCGTGAAAAAAATTAAGAGTTTATATGGTTTTGGAGGACGCTGTCACAAAATTACAGAGGTTTGTATGGATCTTTAATCATGTTTCAAGAGTCATAACTTGATCCCTGTGCAACTTTAAAGCACCAAACTGTTCAAAAAACCAATCTCAACATAACTTTTTATATGGTGGTGTCAGTTAATCGATTAGTTTAAATTTGAAACTCGCCCCAGTTTCCTACGCAACTCCGAAATGGCCAATTGAATTTGATTAGGCGAAGAGCCTATTACACGGCTTTGTCGCGCCATACCACAGGCAGACCACCCTTTGTTAAGAACGTCATGACTCAAGGCTGTTTCACAGATTTGAATGTTAATGTTTTAATTTCAGTTCAAATTCAAACAAAATGTTAACTTTCGTCCGCGGTTTTTTTGGTTCTGTACAAGGCGCAATTATCCGAGTTCTTTTTCCCGATGATGGGAGAGACAGAGATGCGTGGCGTTAAGTTAATTGAAAAGGAGGGGTGACAGGGTAACCAACAGATCAGGCTGTTTCCCTTTTGGCGAAGAGACAATATGGGCGCTTGCTATAGCTGGTGGCTTTCTTGATTTTTAAACGTACCGCGGAAACAAAGGAAAGAGTCGGTCAATGTAAGCCAAGATCGGTAGCTACCTATTTAAGAAAGGCGGCTTTATCTCGACGATTTCACGGTAAAATAAGGGACTTTAAACAGTCTAGGATCAGCCTTTTTAACGGTAGAGGGAGTGATCTTTAAAAGTGTGTACTGAAAACGGCTTTGTAGTTCCTCCAGCCGTGCATTAGCCAGTGGAGAGGACGTTACCAGCCTAGCCGTGGAGGCGAAAGTTTAAGAAAACGTTTCTCACATTTTATCAAGAACTTTAATTCTATGCGTGTTGATTGAAAATAAAATACAAATAAAACTACATACGGGTTTTAAATAAGCTTTATGTTACCTTTTTCTAACAAAACTAGCAAAAACAAAACTAAACTAAACACTACAAATGACAAAGTATGTGTGCACTGTAACACGATTCAGATACCATACAGTTTTCATGATTTGATATTGATTTCAGTTCCTGCTGCCCACATCCGTTCATTTAGATTCTCTTCTTTTAAACAATTTGTTAATCATTCCGTCTTATATTTTGAGAAAACGCGTCTATCGGCAAAGGATACCCAAACTCACAGTTTGAGTGCTCAGTAAGGTAAAACTGTGCCTTTCTAATATTTCATTTATGGCGTTTCTATGGGAACATAAAATTTGAAAAAAATTAACTATAATCATAAACTTATAGACAACTGCAGACACACAAAAAAATAAAACTACTTTTGCTACATTAAGTGTCCTTAAAGTTAATTGTGTCTTTACGACATCTTTACTGAGTATGAGTTAAGAATAATGATTTTTTTCCAATTTTCTGTACGTTGCGCAAACATTAGAGAGGTACAGTTTTCTTGAACCGTCAAACCGAGTGATTGAGAAATCTTGTAGCCAAATTTAGAAAAAAACAGAAGCTAGAAGATTAAAACAGAAATTCGTTGAAAATTGCAATCAGTGCATTGCCTAACGAGAGATATCAGCACTTCGAAAAATGACGGTCTCTATGCGTTGATTAAGCGATTTTGCGAACACTATATCCTAAAGCTATTACTATGTATTTTACAACTTGGTGTCATCATGCCCGGCTGCAGTTACTTCATGCATAGGTAAGTGCTGTCCAGTAATCTGTTTCTCGCCAATCATGGATCCTGGGTATAAATCAGATAAAAGAAGTCGTTGGAAGAACTTGTAAAAGCCCTCCAGTCTTTGTAGGTTGGAGTTCAGTAAAAAACGAGCAATTTTTAATCTCCGCGAGGAATTTTCTGTTACCTTTGGATAGGTGTCGAACCAATAAGTAAAACGTTATTCGGAGAAAATCCGGCACATATGTTCAACTCGTTAGCTCAATTGTTTTTTACCTTAAAAGGTACCAGACTTCAAAACGGTAGACTCCGGTTTGTTTCAGACCCCCGCAGGATATATGCTCTGCAGGTCCTCACATAGAAAGTAGCTGGGAAGTTGCTGCTTTTGCTTCACCTTTGCATATGGTCAGACATTCTAGTCCCCTCGGATAAGTCGATAAGGACGAAAAATCCTAAGCCCTGTTGCAAGGAGCATGATTTTCACTTAATCTTTCTCTGTGGGGCGTAAAAGAATCACTACAGGCGTACAAATTACAAAAAAAAAGGAAAGCAAAGGGGTCTGAACTGAAATCAATGCATTCCATGCAGCGACGCAGGTGGCTGAGTTTAAACACCTTTTGCAAAAACCGAAATTTTAGCACTCTGCTCCCCTCGTACAAACACAATTATGATCGAATGGCCTGGTTATTCTCAGCTCTGGGGAGCGACAGCTTTTTAAAAAAGCTTTCTTCGTCTACCACCCTAAGGAATACGCGGCAAAAAGAGAAGACACCAAAATTTCCTGATGATACGTATATAACATAATGATATCAAAACACTTGTTACCTGCAGTTATTATTGTGAGGTTGCTGGCTGTTGATGCAGTCGTCGAGGTTCTGTCCCTTACAAACGAAATCTTCATTCTTGTCCACCTAAAGAATTTAACCACATCATCCTTTATCTGAAAAAGATTGACAACGTTATTTAACAATTATTCTTTGAAATCGAGGTGAATAGTGGCAAAATATTAAATATTCCCAAAGCCACTATTCACCGAGATTGAGAAGAATAATTGTTTTAGTATATACACACGAAGTGATCTCAACAAAATCAGAAAGGAAACCATTCAAAAGTAGGATTTGATTGACAGATCAAATCACGCGTAAGTTTAAAAATAGATCTTTGCAGAATTTTCAAACATGGCAATTCACAAGTTTACTCATTTCGCAAACAACAGCGTAATGGCTTCAATGGAATCGCTAAAAGTTTGAACTGTTTCCTTACCTGAGAAAAAAAGTAGAGCTGTGTTGTTTTCTGTTGACTCGCCAAGTTTATAGCCAAAAGGGCATGTTGTGTCGTTCTTCGCATGAAGTGCTGACAAAAATGGCGGCTCGGTTGCTCGAGGTAAGAGGTCGTCTTCCTGTATCATTCTTTTTCCTGTTTACTTGAAATGTAGAATTTCTGCAAACATTTCCTTTTAAATTTGTTTGTCATAAATAAACTTCGATTTTTGAGCCAAAATTTTCTTCTTAGAAAACGCTGAGTTCACGAAACGGCTTCTTCTACGCGAATACACGGGAGTTGTAAACAATCCACCGAGCACAAAACTCCTGCTACAGTAAATTGAAAAACGCCGTATTGAATCCTTCCAAGTCTTTTCTTGCCTTAAAAAAAGTCAGCCCTAGGATTTTGTCGACTTTTAAAAGATCGTTCTCTAAAAAAAACGGGAAAAACACCGAGCTCACACATTATCCACTCGCTAGGAGGTGAATATTGTTGAATAGTCCGAGATAGCGAACCAATCAGATTGCTTAAATCACCAAGATCACTGAGTGTGTATATACTAACTGTATATATCCGGCCGAGTTCCAAAGTTATCACATTTTACGCCATTTCTTGTCCTTTGCCTTTAATTTGCTTCACTGTCTGTACATCCCATTGTAAAGCGTGCTCGAGAATGACAATGAGCAGCTTAGAACTGAGGAATCCGAATACAAAACTAATTCTGGCGTTTGTAAATTATTCAAATGACCCAAACCGCCGTCATGTTATAAAATTAGTTTCTGCAGATCAAAAAAGGTCCACTATAATTGAAACTGAAAAGTTAACGATTTAAAAGTTCGGAGCTTGAAGGAAATACCTGGTCATCCAGCAAACCATGAAAGATGCAAAACAAAAGGCCCTGTAGAGAAAGCGAGAGAGAAACTTATAGTTATTTAGTAGCAGATACTACACAACACGACAGTAAGACAGTTTCATCAATGTGCATGCGCGAAAGATTAAACCAAATTTACCAAATTTGTTTAGGACATACCCTCGCACTCTCACTGTTCCGGCGCTTTTATCGTATTTGTTTGTACTAAGATTTTATAGAAGAATCCTTCCGTTATAGCGCCCTGGCCTGGACCTACTGTTACATGTCACTCGCCGCGTAGGAACTTAGGAGCTTTAGCAATTGAAGGTGTTGGTATTTCAGCTGAAACCGTATTTCCCCGAATAATAGCCGTGAGTGATATAGGAGAAAACTGGTGTACTAAGAAAAAAATTTCCCGAAGTAAGCATCGACAAACACGAGGAGAACCACTGAAAAAACACAGTCGATGCAGTCGACGCTTGGAGTTGAAGCCAGGTTACAGTAGTTCCCTAACCGCTGCACCACCACTGCTTCCCTGTAAAAGAGGGGAATATTGTAGCTACGACGATTGTTTTGCGTGTACGCGCAACGGCTGGACTAGGAAGCTTGCGACCCTGCTGGATTAGGGTAGTGAGGATACGGCTAGTTAACTTATTTGCCTTTTATTTGTCAGTTAACGGTATGTTATGTTGTGTTGTATCTGCCTTTACATACTCATTTTTGTTTATTATCAGCATTTTACCTGTAAGGAGTTTAAGATAATAAACAGATACTGGATGATCTCGTTCAATTCAGCGACAATTCCTAGCAGCCACGTGACTCCCAGTAAGGGAAGGAGGGCAGCAATACTCCTGATTCCTCTCCTGTGCAAAAAAAAAACGCGATGAATTATGGGCTCTCTTTAAAACGAGGAACGGGGAAACGGCGAGTTGGGGAATGGGGAATGAGGAACGGATACCCCCTCGCCCCAAAATTTCTCATTTTAAAGATTCTCCGTTTTGAAAACTCTCTGTTCCCGTTCCTCGTGCCCCATTTCCCGATTCTCCGTTCCTCATATTAAAGATGGTTATGAGTTAAGGGACTGAGCCATACCAGCTCTCCTTAGCAACCCTTTGAAAATACAAACCAACGAGATTTCTTTACCAGTGTTAAGGAAAAATAAAGGTCAAGTTTTATTTTAAATAGCTTTTCCGGCAAAGGGAAACTCTCCATAAATGATTTCGAATACCGAGCGGGCTATCACGGTACTGTTAAGAATGGCAATCATCGAGAAAAGTCGGGCCAACCTTCTAAGCCGGTTCTTGGCGTGTGAGTTTTCAAAATCAAAAGCTGTATTTATGAAATAAACCTTAAAAACAGAACAGCAAAAGCACACTATGAACCGATGAGTTTAATGGGCGGATCTCTTATAAAAAATCTACCTATCAGTAGATCGAAAAGAGAAGAGAGAATCGCAGGGAAATTCCCCGTGCTAAAATGAAACTAAAAGAGTTACATTCTTTGTTCTAAGAAGATGATATGGCTTACCTGAGATGCTGTTATATTTTACTTACTTAGCTTTCTGTACATGGTTACTATGATACTTGATTGATATCTTCGTAAATATCACTCTTAACAGAACCACGAAGATTATGACATTGATCTGCAATGGTACAATATTGTTAACTGATTTGTTCCATAAGTAACTCCTCTCTACTATGGAATACATTATACATTAATTATACTTAAGTGATCCACCCTTTTTGGAGTAGTACATGGATTGAAAAACACAAAATTAGGAATTAGTACTTAACACCCGCTGTTAAAGGTATTTCGGGAGACTAAGGGCATGGTGCATCAATGGACAGCGAAAGTTGAAGTGAGGGACGGGGGAGGAAAATACGGAGTTTTATCACCTGACTCCGGCCCCACTTCATTCCCCACCTTCCTCCTGTGACTCAGGAATGCTTGAGCGAATCCTAGTGGTCGCTAGTCCCGTCCCGTCCCCTCCTATCACGTTCCCCGCCCCTAGAAAAACAAACTCCTGCACTGCAAGCTGCGTCATAGTTTGCACGGTGTACCTACAAACTTGTGCGTGCTACCGTAAGTTTTCCGTAAAAGTAAACCAAGTCTAGCATACTACAAGATATATTGCTGAAAGGAAAAGACGCGGCTTACCGATAGCATTGTCAGGATTGGTGCTTTGTACAGCCACTCTCCATCGTGGAGCCAACACCTTATGAAAATCAATAAAAATTTCCATTTCTTTTTATATCCCTTATGTATGAAGTGCTTGTGCTCTCATAAACATACTGAAGATTTATTGCAGTATAAAGAACAGATGTACGTACTGGGACAAGAGTCACCAATTCAGCTGCACCGTCATATACACACCGTAAATCCTCTATTAACCCCCCCTCAGGGCCTTTTTATTTCAAACACATTTGGTGGGGGTGATTTCTTGAGAGGGGGAGCTTATTTAATTTAGCAAAGACAATGGTGTCAGTTCTCCTTTAAGAACGGGAATAAGAAGAGGAAAAGCTCAAGTACAAAAAGGTTGGAGGTCATGCAGCCGAAAATCAAAAACAAATCCAAACTTCCAGTTGGTGAAAAACCATCCCTGATCAGTCCCCACGAAGTCTTGCAGTCGTAATAGATTGATACATCTATCATTTATTAGTGAATAATAATAGTGGGAGGAGAGGGGGGGGGGACTTATTAATTCTTCCCATGAAAAGGGGGGCTTCTTAGAGATGATTTACGGTAATTATCCACTTTCTTTATGGAGCGTTATGTTAACTGAAAGGGCTGCACCACCTAGCCTGCGAGAGCAAACGCCTCTCCGCTCTTGTTTCACCCGCCCAGAAAATAGCTCTTTTCTCAGCGGGTGAAACAAAATCCGAAAAAGGGTTCTGCTCCAGCCTACACAAAAATCGGTCATATCAACTAACCTGGTGCGTATAATTTCCACGGGAAGTTTCAGTGTTCCGCACATGACTTCTTTGTAGTAAGTCGTAGTCATATCATATGTCAGAGGCCTAATGGCTGCTACCAGCCCAACGATAATCACAGGAATACCTGGAAACAGTTACACATTAAAAGCTGGCTTCTCGTTTTTACATCTTGAATAGTCCCAGGTGACTGGGGCAATACTAACACTTTGCAGTTAGAGGTTTATGATAGGAGGGCGGTGCTTACGTTCGCAAAAGTCGGATAATACAAAAATCCCGGAATTTACATTTATAACTCCACATGAAGCCGACAGTAGTAGAAAAAGCGAAGGAAATGGGAGAGTAAATGGTATTCATGCTGCATGTATTTGGGTTTGAAAATTATTTTATCAATAACTAGCTAGTATTAATGAAGGTAATCGCAACTGGACTCGCGTTTTGTTTTAAATAAGCATTGAGGAAAAAAGAGAAAATCTTTTATATATAAGAAGGACTAAAGTAAACCACACTGATTCAATCTAATTATAACCTGGAGCCTTGTTAAAAAAAAGAGCTGATCAGGCGCGTAGGAAGGGGGGTTCGAGGGGTTCGAACGAACCCCCTTTGCAGGTCAATGATGGAGGACTAAAAACACAAGCTGTTAATTTTCAGCTTTTAGCAACTAGTGGAGAAATGCAAAACAAACTTTGAGTGTTTCAGCTCAGTTTAAATTACCCTGCAAGAAAACGCTAACTCAAAATACCTGTTATTTTAGACTTGATCGAGTTTGAAATATTCACGTGCAGACTACCGAAAATCGCATTTCCAGGTTTCTAGATTTCAACATTTTCTGGGAGAGCAATTTGCCCCAATAAACCCCTAGGGGCTCGCGCCTTTAAGCACTCACAGTATTTCCCGCTGTTAAGAAATATTCGTATCAGTACGAACACCCCTTCTCAAACTCCAGCTACGCGCCTGTCGCCTGTCCATTCAATCAAACTCGTTCCACGTTGCTTCTCTCATCACGAAGTGGTGCTAACGAGTGAAAGATCTTCTTAGGAACGGATGTAACGAATTTGCCCATAACCATTCGATAACCGCAGTTAACACGCACACCGCAATAGCCCAATTTCAATATATCAAAATGTTTACATTACTCGAAGTCTGGTCAGCTCTGGTGTTATTTCTGTATTTGGTTTGGTTTTCCGTGTGTTTAAGTCTCTTCTGGGAAACGATGAGATCGAGAAAAATAAATAAACAAAAATAAATAATGATGTGGAGGTAGCACATCCACGAAGTGGTTCTTCGTCTACCTGATTCCTGGTCGAATTGGAATTTGGAAATGTTGGTTTTTGAGGAGAGGGCAAAACCGGAGTATCCGGAGAAAAACCTATCGCAGCAAAGGAGAAAACCAACAACAAACTCAACCCACGTATAGCGTCTACGCAGGGATTTGAACCCGGGCCACATTGGTGGGAGGCGAGTGCTCTCAGCACAGCGCCATCAAATTAGCTACAAATTTGCTGCAATTTGTACGTAAAAGCATCGGAGTCACGTTAGAATTTTAATCTATCGAACGTGGGCTGTTGAGCAGGAAGAAGCCTGGAAACTAGGTTGCTGGTGTGTTTTTAGCAGTAAGAAATTTTGACATGATTACCCCAGCCGATGATCACGTATGTGATGTAAAGCTTCTGGACCGAGAATACTTTCACCAGTTTGACGTAAAGATGAATTCCTTCCACCAGCATCCACGTAAATATGGTGGTATGCGAAAAATGCTGAAAAACCGCCATAAATGAACATAATTTCTGTAAGAAAGAAAATATATGCATTCATTAAACAGTAAACTCCCCTTAACTTAACAGCGCAAGGTACAAAACTCAGCTAAAATATTATACAACTATCCCCCGAAGGGGAAGTGAATAGTGGTTACTACATATCGAGACGCGAGGCGTCGAGGTATATATCTAGCGCTCTTCACCGACCCTGAGGGGGATAGTTGTTTTAGTATTTACCAAATCAGTTGAATAAAAGCAAAAAAGTAACTTTTTGTAAATTAAAAACGTCACTTAGTAGGAACTTTGTTTACAATTTACAAATATTTCGATGATTTTGTCAAGTGCATTTTTACGATTTTGATGCAAATTCATCACGTAAATAATTTTCTACCTACCAGTAAACACCAACAAGCCAAAGTTCGTCGCTTTGTTGGTATTTGTTTGTACGACTGCTTCATTTATCGCTCAAATTTCGTCTTCCGAAAATGTCTTGAAACAAGACGCCATCTTGGCTCCGGTCGCAAAACAGTGAATAACCAAGGACATTCCGAGTTACGGGAGCCAATCAAAACGCGCGAAAATTGCTATTCACTGATTTGGCAAATACTAAACAGTGTTAACTGCTGCGTCGTTGGGAATGGAGCGATCGTCCAATTCTAATCCTAGGCTTTGCACGTTAGCTTAGGGTTGACAGGCTGGTTTTATTTGTTACGCTAACTCCTGGTCAAAATGTTGAACTGTGCAAGAATGTTAAAAAACGCACTTTTTTGAGTGTCTATGTCAGTTCAGCAGGACACTATTTTTACGTCCCTCCAATGGAGAAGGGACCGCCAGTTTACGTAGTCGTCTCAGCCACGTGAAGTTCTAGCTGTTTGCAGCAGAGCGAAGGCAGTACCTTCATTTCTCATTTCACTGATTAGTATAGGTCCCTGGGGATCGAACCTACAAGCTGCATTTTTATATTCCTAGATTTTCACTCGACTAAACAGGGGCTGTCACTGGTTGATCCTTGGTCACGTGACGTTGACTAAAATGAAATGTATCCCGATAGTGATACATTAGGCAATGTACCCCGCTCGGGATACATTACATCACGTGATCAAAGCATGGTGGAAAGTGGCCTGATAGAAGGCGGGAAAAACACTGCCAGTATTCTTTTTCGTGAATGAACACAACTACTCCACAACAGAAACATTTTAAAGCGCGAGCCAAAAAGCAACGATTTTCAAAGTTATCCCAGGAGAGAAACAGCAGCTAGTGGAGGAAAAAGATGCAGATAATATAAGGAAAGTACATTACTTTGTAGACAAGAGAGGATAAAGGGGACAGAGAGGGCATCCCCCATACACACCCTATTCCATAGGTAATTCGTCTCGAGTTATTTTTAAGACCACAGATTCCGAGGGGGATTAGACAACAGCCAATCACATAGTGCGAATGTGTTCCGCGTGGATGACCCACGCTCAGAGCCACGCGTCCTTCACGAATTGACGCTGAAAAAATGCCGGAAGACGCGGAATGCGATATTGCTATTCGTTTTGTCGACGAAAACAACTAAAGAGAGATTTCTGCTAAAGCTGTGTCAGCGAAACGGAAATTAAAAAGAATCGCCCTTCCTCTCTTGTATAGAGTTAACAGTACAGCAGAGAAATCCTTAACACACTGAATATTCTCTTAGGATCATTTATAATTTACAGAGATTAGGAAATGTGCTTCAGTGGCAACTTTTAAGCAATCCCTTAAAACTTTTTTATTTAAGTTAGCATATAGGTTATGAGATTCCTTTTGTTTTGAGATGTTTTTGATTTATATAGTAGATAACTTAGGCTATGTTTGAATTATATTGTATATTGTAGATATTTTATATTTTATATTTTTTATATTTTATTTTGTAATTAGGTAGCGCTTTGGACAATTATTGGATTTTAGCGCTATATAAATAAAATTATTATTATTATTATTATTATATTTATTCTTTTATTATTCAACAAAAATAACACTTGACGTCCTACTTGCTTTATTGTACAAACGACCGGTTTCAATAGACCGGCGAAATTTCTCATTTCATTAAAGCACTGAGGTTACGACAACTTCGAGTTAAACTGATTTTACGGGTTGTCAAAGAGTCCGGCGATTCCCTTTTCCCAGGTGAGCGCCGACTCACTTAGCTTCAATATTCAGAGATGCTCTGGATCTCTTTCATTGCCTTTCGCCCGACATGTTTTGCACGGCGTTTAGTCATGCGAAACTTCCACGAAACATCAACGCAGCGCGCGAGGTAGCTTTATCCCGATTCTAAAAATAACTCGAGACGAATTACCTATGGAATAGGGTGTGTATGGGGGGTGCCTTCTCTGTCCCCTTTATCCTCTCTTGTTTGTAAATCATTCATTCAGTGGTCTTGAGAATTAAATTTGTGTTCTTATAAGAACCGAGTCGCCTATTTTGATTCGCTCCGGTTTAAGTTTATATTCTTTTATTGCTGTTGAAGTGAAAGTCTAGAAATATAACAAAACACTTAATGTCAGGTCGCTCGGGAAACCAGTTAGTTTTGTTTTCCCTCGAGTCCTTATGTTCCCTCGACTTCGTTTCGGGAAACATCAGGGTTCTCAGGAAAACAAAACTAACTGTTTCCCTCCGGATCTGACATTAAGTGTATAATATTTCTCACCGTCTTTTTTTTCTTATCTTTTTTGGGGGGGCAACAAATGTCGAACGTTGTTTAACCATTTTTAAGAGGCGTAAGTCAAAAAAAAAAACAAGAAGTGATTTTATAAAATACGGAGAACTTGAAAACAGAAAAAATATATCTTAAAGAAAAGTAACATGCAAGTATGATGTAAGCTACGATATTTTTAAAGTGCTTTCAGAAAAACAATGCTAGCCTTCTGGTCGAGCGTAGCCCCAGCTGTTAGATCAGGATGCAAAAATGCGCTTTCAATCACTTTTTTGCTATTCTAGCCATCCTACACATTATTATCGGATTCATGACTATTATATCAAAATAACAATAGCAGTAATAACACGAAAAAGAATAAAAATTACCGGGTT